TACCATCGTATTAATCCATAAAAGGGCACACAGTCACAATATTGCGAATAAACAATAATGCATTGGAAAAAAATTTCCTACAAAGCCAAAACTAGAAAAAATTTAATGGTATAATGGATCTTCGTTTATTAGAGGAAGTTTCTGTATCAAATATCATGGTCCTTGATTTAGAGGTGAATTTTTTTCAACTAATACATAAACATTTAAAATTAAAATTGATAGTTTTATAAATATATATATAGGATAATTTTCATTTACAATAATTCTATAAATAAACCAAATTTTTATTTTGCAGAATAATTTCGAACTAAGCCGAATTTTTATTTGACCGAAATTGAAAAGCACAAAGATTGGTATTTACGAGATGAAAAATCAGAAAGATTGATTAAAAATTTACGAATGCCCAATCACAAATCGGCACTTACAAAAGAACTAGATGGAATTCAAGGTTCATTTCGACAACTAAAGATCGATTAAAATAATATTTTTGTATATTTTTTTATATAAATATTTTTATTTTGCAAAATTATGATTTTTTACAATAATAATTATTGTTATATATATTTGTAGGGGAATAGTGTGAGGGTTGGACACTTGTCATGGTTGGACACTTGGCTTTTTTTAAATAAAAACACTAGTGCCACCTGTGTGCGTACGTGACGAATCTTCTAGTAGTGTAACCTAACTTTTTGTGGCATTACATTTTCGGAGAATCAAAAGTAGCGTCTCCTGTGACTTTGGTGTTAAAAAAGCAAGAATTCGGCAAGGGAAGCTTATTGAATGTATTGTGGGGTACATAATTTAAGAAGAAAAAAGTGAAAAATCGAATCGCGACACATGTCTGGTTATGGTTAGCACAATTCGAAAATGATGCTTCTAGTTAGGGTTGGACACAATTTATAAATAAATAATTATAAATTTTTTTTTATTGATATTTCAGTGCAAAATTGTGCCAAAGATATTAGAAAAATAATACTTAAATTGTATAAATTTTGTTCATCATTTCATTGAGTTATTTGGAACAATAAAGCGTTTTTTTTTGTAATTTGAGTTCATTCCTTTTTTAAACCCATGAAGCTTTACAATTTGTAAACAAAAAGTAAAGATAAACATGAAAAAATAAGAATAAAAAACAGTACAAATGTTATTTTACGTTTTTACCAATAATGCGTTTCGATTTTCAAAAAGTGTCCAACCCTGACTGAAAAGTCCAATATAGACAATATTATGTCTATATACATTCTAATTTAAAAAAAAAATTTGTTGCATAATTGACATATTTAAGGAGGTTCCATCCCTTCACTGAACTAGTCAAAGCAATAACCATTTTTGTCTGATTTGACTTGCTCGGTATTTTGAAACGTCTGGCAACACTGCAACTCACGTTATGTACGTTGTCAACAACTGTTGTTTTGTTTTTCCATGATTTATTTTATTTATAAGCTTTAATTTCTAAAAATATTATGTGTTTGTCATATTTTTCAAGTTAATAATAAAAATTTTATTAACTAATAGAATTTCAGTTTTTAATTTGAACATTTTATTCTTTTCCCAGAAATCAAAATTTGAAATAACGCGCGCATAACCTCAAAACTTTGACAAGCGCACGCGCACGGTGGAAACCGTGAAGACGCGAAATGCCGTGTTGCCAGATGTTTCAAGTTATCTTTTTTGTATCACAAAAAGTGGAAAAAAAATTTATAAATGAACTATTTTGAACTCTCACAGGAACCCATTGTCCTTTTTTAAATACAATACCGGTTCATTGCATATCTGTCTTTAACTATACAAACTTTGATCAACATCTGTTTGTTTAATATTTCATAGTATGAAAATATATGTGACAAAGTAATGAATTCCCATAAGAATCAATGTTAAACAGTGAAAAAATAAATCGATCAGAACTTTTTTCTCCGGAACCTACAGGTCTCAAAAATTTAACTATAGAATTTTAGAAGCTTTATTTAGTAGTGTATCAAGTTTTACCAAAAACTGCTTGTTTATTCGATAATAGGTGGTACCTCCTTAATGTTAAATATTATAATATTTAATTTAAATTACCTATTAGATAAATAAGAGTGAGAGAGAAAACAATAGACGCGTTTCTACCTTCTCAATCTCGCATTTTCTTATCGCCGCCATGCCTTGAACGTGATTGGTGAAAAAATTCAAAATTATCCTCGCGCGTCTAAATTTCATATGATCACGTGGTTTCAAATTCACTTTTGTGCTTCATCAATTTCATTGGGGTGTTATCATTTCTCTAGCGTCGGTCATTGACATCGGTTCAAAATCGCATAAGTTATCATCAGTCATTTCAATTTTTGATGACCATGTGTTTTTGTGAATATTAAATTAAAATTTTTAATTCTTTAAAATCAGTGTTTTAGCTTTCGGGAGTGTTTCGTATTTTATTTTAAACCCGCGCTCGAGTAATATTTAGGGTTTGAATTTTTTGACGTGAGAAACGTTTTTTTTCGATGGCTTGTGGTGTCATGTACTTTAAAGATAAGGGCGAAAGAAAAAAAGGGTATCTTATTTTTGAAGTAAGTACACAAAATTCTTGCAAACTTTTTAGAACTCGGTCTATTTTTACGGTTATTTTTCACATTTTCTGAATGGAAATTTAACTTGAAAGTTGAGATCTACAAGAGGTATTTAGTTTAAAAGAATCGCCTTGAAGCTATTATTAAAATTTTTAATTCTTTCGAGTCAGTATTAGCTTCCGGGAGTGTTCGCAATTTCTTTAAACCCGCGACCGAGTTATTTAGGAAGTAATTTTCTTTTCTTCAACTTTTTTTGAAAATAAAATAATTTTCTAATTTCGGGAGTGTTCGCAATATTTAAAACCGCGATCGTATTAAAGGAAAAAATTTTTTAAGTCAACACGTAGTCCAGGAGTGTGCGAAATTCTTAAAACTGCGTGTGAGTGATTTCTTTTTGCCAATTTGGAAACCACCGTTCGAGTGCCGCTCCAGGATGGAGATCGGGCATGGGCGAAGGGTGTCCGCGGTAAATTTTTTTTTATTTTATAATTATAATAATTGAAAAAACATTTTTGTATGAAAAATTGTAATTTTTAATCTTTGTGTCTAATTTTTAAATGTTTCTTTTTTCAGACTAAAGGTCAGGAAGGAGGATGCAGAGAAAGCATAGCCCCTGTATAGTTCCCCGGTCTCCCTGCATAGAAGAGGGGCCACTGGCGGACTGGTCCAGAAGAGGCGATGCTGCCATCGCTCCGTCGAGGTGAATCCGCGATCGGCAAGTGAATTTTTTTTTGAACGTAGCGACACACCCTGAAATGTTTAATTTCTAAAATTCTATTTAATTTTACGATTTTGGCTAATTTTGACCCCCCCCCTATCCCCATGTAAGAATACATAAGATTTTTCGACCCCCCCTCCCCCTTCTTACGTAAGTTTTTAACAATATTAATGTAATTAAAAAATTCAGTACAAACAATACAAATGGAAAATAGTTGGCAAAATCTTCTACCCCCCGCCCCCCGACGTAAGACCATGTAGAGATTTTATAACCCCCCCCTCTCTCCCTAAGAACCCTTACGTAATTAATGAATGGCCCCTAAATAAATTAGAAATTTTTTTGTACTTGTTTACTAACTTTTCTTTCATCAAAATCATCGTGGTGAGAAAAATATTTATTTATATTCTAAAATTTTGTAATATTTTCAATGTAAATTGTGCCCATTTTAAATATGTACTAATATGTTTTTTTCATTTTTTGTCAGTATTTATGACCAGAGAACAAATGTTCGAATTTCCTTTGAATGTCGAGATTATTTAAATATACCAAAAAAATTTACCTGCAACAGCGAAAGGCTTCAGTGGAATAGCAAAAGTTTTAATTGTTTCAGTTAAATCTTTCGAATACACAGAAAAAACCAGAATTCAAATTGAGTATAGATTCTATACTCAATTTGATTCGCAACAAAAATGAAACTGGTTGTTTCATTTCGAGTTCTAAGGTAAAAGTATCAAAATGAAACAGGCAAGTTTCATTTTGAGAAAAAGAAAAATCGAAAAATATTGTGAAATAACGAATAATTTTGCACAAAAACATGAAATATAATAATTACAAAGAAGTAAATAACACGCTAGACTTAATATATTTGATTAAAAATTGCTTGTAATCGCGTAATAAAATAATAAAGGAAATATGTTTTTAGGTTAGAAAAATGAAAACATGTGTTTTGACAACAGGAACGGTACTGCCAACTTAAATAATAGCGGTAAATTTAAAAACTTATGAAATTAATTATTATCTACGTAAATAATAATAAATAATTTTTATTTAAAAACTTCTAAATATTCGTACTGGTCAAAATAATCTTTCTGGTGTTGTTGAAATATTAGAAACAATAATTGAAATACAAAATTACTCTGCTTATGATGCCAACTTAGAAATCTGAAATTCCAGCCAATATCATTTTGAATAACATGAAGTTTGTCCCATACTCATTTCGATACCCAAAAGAAAATGAGTTGCAACAAAAATGAGTCCAAGTTTTTTCTGTGTAGACTATTGTAAGTATAGATTTGATCACTTTTAAATTTAGGTCCACTTTAAAAAAACTAAAATTTAGATAATTCGTAATTCAAAAATTTGGCCACTTATAAAAAAATAAAAAAATACGTATTCATTTTTTTTCACTAAATAATAAAAAAAAATAATTTTGACCGAATTAAAAATGTGAACTGAAATCTGACGTGGAATCGCCTATATATATCATTTTTCTGACATGTCTAACAAGTTTTTACACCCAGATGGCGCCAGAGGGATAAAATGAAATACTATCACCGCCCCAATCTACCCGGTTATCATCTATTAGTATATTGTTATATGACTTTGATTCAATTTAATATTAACGTTTATTCTTAAAATTTTTACATGTAGATTTAATTCTTATGGAGGTACATAATTATATTCACTTTTCTTCAATTTCATTGCGATAAAAAAAAGAAATTAATATTTACAATATATTAAGTGTAGGTATAATAAATTTAATTAACAAGTTCTTTTATTTTTACAATAATTGATCTTCATCAGTTAATCTTATAATGTAAAATTCATAAGCATTCATACAAGGAGAAAATAAATATATTTATTGAGTTGCAAAAAACCAAATGAATCATGTATCGTTTAATTTACTTGTCCTTTGAAGAAAAATGATGATTGGAGTTTATTTTCATTCTCAAGAGAGATCATAATATATAAACCTTTCTTTTTTGTCACATTTTGTTTTTTACTATACAATTAAAATCATCATGTGAAGAAGATTTTTCTCTTTTTTAAGAAAAAAAATGTTTGTCTTACCAAAGGACAAATATAAAATATATATATTTGATAATTATAATTGATATTTATAGTATCAAATACTTATATTCAAATAATTAAATAGTATTATTTAATTATCATTAAGATATTTTTTTATAATGGTAATATAAATATTACTTATAAATTAATTGTTAATAAATATGTACAGTTTTGGCTTATTAATAATACAAGTTTCTTTCATTATTGCGAATTATTTGTGAAGCGAAATAATTTAAATCCATCAAATAATTAACCTTGTGAAAAAAATATTTCCATAATTTTAAAAGTCGTTCTTTGCTATGTCAATTTGAATTAGTGAGAATTTGTTCACTAATTCCAATGAGTAGAAATTTTCTAAATTCTAAAATTGATTGAAATTAAATTTTCTATCATTTTTTTTATTTCCGTTGAAAACCAATTTTTAATTTGAGGTTAAATTACGCCGACCATCCTCCATTATTGACTTATTTATATATTGAACTCTCATTGGCCTCAATAATAATTAGAATAATAACACTAATTATATGTAGACAATAATAATTACAAAATTTTTGACGCTCTATTAAATCTATATTCTTCATGAGATGTTTTAAATCTTGATAAATAACGAATGTAAAGAAAAGAGGTGTTGAAGATGCTATGATGTGATGTAAAATTGGGAATAATAATTAGAAGAGAACATTTCCTTGCCTGGCCTGCAGGCATACAAATTTCGAACAGTCGTACCTCCTCACGGCCTCCATGACCTCTTCAAAGTGACCAGACACTTGGGCAGCTGCTCCAGGCTGTATTCTGTTAAAAAGAAGAGAAAAAAGGAGGTAACACAATTGAGTTTCTGAATTTAGAAAGCGTTAGGGAAAGCACATTGGTGGCGCTGTGATTACACTTTGATAAAAGGTAATGTATGTATAAGAAACGAATTATCTTTAATTAACCTCGATGGCTATTATAAATGACTTTAAACGTTTCTAATAGTAGTGACCGTTACTTTTAATAGCATTTAGTAAACACTTGAATTATAAATATATGTATGTATATATGATTCTTTAAATTAGCACGTGTTAATATTATCGCCTCAAGATAATAATCTCTCCAAAAGTATACTTCATTATAAAAGAGATTATTTTTAATTGACTATATAATATACATTGAGAGTTCTCAGGGGTTCAAACGAACAGCATTTTTTTTTTTTTTTTTTTATTAACCCTCCCCTCTGGGATTATTCTCATTTATTTGCTCTTCAATTTATTTTCAATTTTGTATTTCTTCAGAAAAATTAATTTTTCAATTATTTAATAAATTTTAAATTAAATAAAAATAAATTAAACTTTACTGATTTAAAAAATAAGTTTTTTATATTTCATATATTATAATTGTTTAAATAAATTTGTTTGAATAATTTGGCCTAAACAATTAAACTTTATTGATAGATTTTGATAATTTTTTCTTTGAATTGTTTCAGTTTATTCTCTTTCAATATTAGTGATATATATGTGACGCTACATGAAAAATAGGGACATTATGGCAAAAATTTTCAGGTTGTGTTTAGTGATAGATTCAGTTTGATTAAACGTTCACATTTCACAGTTTTCTTGTTGGTATTTAATTGATACCGGGAATTGGATCAACTCATGTAAGATTTTGATTCGATATAAGGATTAAGGTATCAAATTAATCCAAATTTTGACATCACTTTTTAAGGCCAGGTCCAAGTGAGGCAGCGCCATCTACATTGATACTAAAATTTTGGAAAATTTTCAACAGCCTTTTCTTGAAAACAAGATGGTAAAATGCTTTTTCCTTTATGGATAATTGATTATTGGCAAAATATACACCAGCTAAAACTTTTTTTGAGTTAAAATAATAAAAAAAATTTCATGTCAATAAATTAAATATGAGCACTTTTTTCACAAAAACTGTAACAGTACTTTCTCAGAAATTACAATCAAAAATGCAATTTCCAGTTGGAAAATTAATAAACGCTAAAAAATACACGACCTAAGATTTACCAATCACGAAAATAACAAAAAAAATGTTATTAAATATTTAACATATTGATACTGCTTTACTGATTGTGACAGCCCTTTGGTAGATTATGTATTTCAGGTGGTTAGCAACAGCGCCAATCTCCTCCTTTCGGCAAAACTGCGAAACGTCTGGTGACATATATAACCTGCCAAACGGCTGTCATAATGAGTAAAATATGTTATGTTAAAATACTTTTTTTTGTTATTTTCGTGATTGGTAAATCTTAGGTAGTGTATTTTTTAGCGTTTATTGATTTTCCAAATGGAAATTGCATTTTTGATTGTAATTTCTGAGAAAGTACTGTTACAGTTTTTGTGAAAAAAGTGCTCATATTTAATTTATTGACATGAAATTTTTTTTATTATTTTAACTGAAAAAAAGTTTTAGCTGGTGTATATCTTGCCAATAATCAATTATGCATAAAGGAAAAAGCATTTTACCTTCTTGTTTTCAAGAAAAGGCTGTTGAAAATTTTCCTAAATTTTAGTTTCAATGTAGATGACGCTGCCTCACTTGGACCTGGCCTTAATAGCTAAATTGATATTAATGGTTGGTTTCCATTGTCCCCACTCGCCATTTGTCATAATTTTCGTCAACTACCGCACCCTGCTCTAGTGAAAATTTAGTGACTTTATTGTTACAATTAAAAGTTACTATAAAGTGACTTAAATTTTCACTAGAGCAGAGTGCGGTAGTTGACGAGAATTATGACAAATGACGGGTGGGGATATTGGCGAGTGGGGACAATGGAAACCAACCCAAAGTGTCACTGTCATAGCTGGCATGCTCTTATTGACAAGTTTATTAATCAATTTCTCCAGTGTATAGAATTTTCAATTATTAAAATCAATTTTATTACGAATTTTAAGAAAGAGAGAAGCAAAAATTGATTTATAGTTTAATCATTAAATTATAAATGAACAAAATTTAAACATTGCATTTGATAAATATTTTTCGTGCGTTGTCAATTAATAATTGTCTGTCACACAATTTTAATTGCCAGATGACATTTGCAAACAAACAGGGTTGGGAAGCAAGAGCCACAAATATGTTCGTTCAAAGCAAAGTTGAGTAGGATTAAAATTTTGTCCAACAATAAATTTCGGAAAGTGTATTTAACTGTTTAAGCTGTGTTTACAATACAATTAAATATGTAAACTTTCATAAAATCATTGTTGAACAAACCTTCAATCCTACCCAACTTTACATTGGACGAACAAATTTTGGGCTCTGGCTTCCCAAACCTGTTTATTTAATAATGTTATCTGGCAATTAAGACAGAAAATGAAGAAAATTTTTTTGTCTCCAAGAATTTTGTTTCAATTACTATATGGGTGATTCTCCAGAAACGGGTCACTTTTGAATAAGGAATTTTTTTTTCAAAATTATTTAAAAATACATGTTTATTGCATCCTTTTTATTAATTATGATTGGAACAAGTGATTCTAATAAATATTTGAGCTTAAAAACCGTTTTTAATGTAATTTTAACGATAAATATGTATTGTAGTACTTTCAGCGCAATAGCGTAGCAAGGGCGGCCGGGGCCCCAGGCACCATTGTTTTTGCGCAGACATGTAATTAAATTTTTAATATTTAATTTTTCGAGAACAAAACAATAATTTCTTTGCAAAAATTAATTGTTTTGTAGAAATTTATCTCGGCTTTTTTTTATAAAAATAGAGAAAAAAAATTAAGTTTCTTAAACGCAAGGGAACTGAAAAGCTGAATGACGGCCCTGTAGTTGAGTGTCGTTTCTGCTCGCGCGAAACTTGCGCATGCTCAATAAAATTTCGGGGGCCGGAGTTGAGAGAGCTGGAGTTGAGAAACAAATGAAAAACATTAATTACTTTGTTAATTAAGGACTAAATAAAAAATCCTTTAGGGATTTTATACAATTTTATTACTTTTATCGATACTATAGGTTGAAATTCAAAATTATTTTGAAAAACGATTGTTTTAAACAGGTTCGGAGTTGAGACATAATAAAAATACGCAAATTGTATTGTTTAATAATATAAATTTAAAAGTTAATTAGTTAATTAGTACCGTTGATTTTTATTCAATTGGGATTTTTACACATATTTATCAAAAAATTGCTTTAGTTACAATGAAAATAACAAGCAAAACCTCGAAAAACTAGTCAAATTCTCAACTCCGGATCCAGAAAAAAATTTACGAAGAAACATTATAAATAAACATTTTTTTATTTAAATGGACGAAAAATTAAAAACCCTTTTAGGGAATAACAGTTTTTCAGCCATACTTTAAAATGACTATAATGACAAATTTTATTTTTTTAATTTTAATGTCAAAATCTTATTCAAAAATAGCAAAATCCATGTGTGGAACGAGCAAAAGTATATTTTTAGCATATTTCAGATGACAAAATAAATTTTGGGAAGTAAAATATCATTATATTGATAATGAGTTTATTAAAGATCATTAAAATGAAGAAATTAAAAAAAAATAAACCAATTCTAGATAATATTTATTAACTAATTAATCAAAGAATCAAAAGTGACCTGTTTCTGGAGAATCACCCATATCAATTTAGCAATAAATTTAATTATTAATTAAATTAATGAGTGTAGTAATAAAAAAAAATTTAATTTTGTCCAATTCGTGAGAAAAGTTTAAAAAAAAACAAGTACAAATTTAATCTTTGTAAAAAAGGAGATTTCGATTTCACTCACACATTCATATATAATGGAGAGTGCAAACTTTATCTTTTTAAAGTCGTTCATCGAGTTCTCTTCTTATATCTTTTTCTATAACGTTTTCCTTCATCGCACTTTAAAGTTATATATATATATATATATTAAGTGAAACTGTGCTAAGAGGTAAAAGTTGAATCAGTCAGTAGGACGTTGAATCGTGCGAGCGAAAGCTAAAAGAAAGTTATATGTCTACCTATAGAAATAGTCTAAAGTAACCGTAGCAGTCTTCAAATCTGCACGTGAATCAATATTGTTCTTTTTTTTGGCGGGAAAAATTTTAACATTGCATATTATTCTTTCTTATCAGAATAACTATATATGATACCATAAATCATTGTGAAAGCAAATTCGAGCGACTTTCTTTTACTTTATTTATGTAAATAATATTATAATCGTGAAGTTTGCCCCGTTTTTCATTGTGAATTATATTATTTAAATGTAAAAGTGAATTCTCAAAATTTTCGAAAAAAATAATATCGTTGAAATTAAGATGATGTGAAACTAACAAAGAAAATATTTTTCAAAAAAAGAAAAGTTATTTAAAAAAAATGATTTTTCATTTTTAAAATTATTTTGAAAGTTGAAAGACATAAACTAAAAAGAGTAATTTGCAAAACAGAATGTCCAAATTTTACCCACAAAAGTTATAAAAAGCATTTAAATTTAAAAAAATATTAATTTTTTGTCGAACCAATATGTTGGACAATTTTTTTGAAATTTAATTAGCGATTTTGAATTTTAAAAATCTGTTTTTATATTCCTTATCAAAATTTGTTTCTCTAGTTCAAAAAGGGGTGCAATAGAACGGGATTTGGTAACAATCGAAAATAAAGAATAATATTTTCTAACCAAAATTCGGCTCTCTAGGTCAAAAAGAACTTTACAGTACTAGCAACACGATTTTGAAACGAACCATAATAAATAATAATTTTGTAACCAAAATTTAGCTCTCTAGGTCAAAAAGAACTAACCATTTGTCATAATTCTCGTCAACTACCGCACCCTGCTCTAGTGAAAATTTAGTGACTTCATAGTTAAAATTATAAATTACTATAAAGTCACTAAATTTTCACTAGAGCAGGGTGCGGTAGTTACCGAGAATTATGACAAATGGCGAGTGGGAACAATGGCAACCTTCCAGATGAAATTTGTAAACAGGGTTGAGAGAAGCAAGAGCCCAAAATATGTTTGTTCAAAGCAAAATTGGGTAGGAGATTGAAATTTTGTCCAACAATAATTTTCGAAAAGTGTATTTAACTGTTTAAGCTGCGTTCAGAGTGAAATAAAATTAAATATGTCCATTTTCCGAAAATTATTATTGAACAAAATTTCAATCAGAAAAAATAATTAAAAAATGAAAAAAAAATAGTAATGTAAAAAATACTTACAATGATAATAGTGAATTCATTCTTTTTTCCATGAATATAGAAGCATCGGAACCATTTTCAAGCATGGCATCGCAAAACATTTTTTTGGCACATTGCGTATTCGTCCAATCAAAATGATCAATTCGATTTGCTTCAGCAACAGTGGAATGTTCTAAGTTTTGAAAAGCATCCAATAATTCTTGATCACTGTCTAGGCTTCTTTTTCTTCTTCTCGTTCTATTGTTTACATCATTTTTAGCCATTTTTTCCCTTTCATCATTAGATTTCTTTATAATTTCATCAACGACTTTTATCATTTTATCTAAAGCCTCATTATTACCTACTTTTTCACCAATACCTCCATTCATTATTCCCAATGGCACTGATCCATCTTCCACCAATAAAATGGAATTATCTTCAGTCTCCTTTTTCTTGGAACTTTTTGGAATGAGAAGTTCAGTAATGTCAATATTTCCCTTGGCGGGCACATCAATTTCCACAATTTCAGTAATGAGATCGGCACCTTTTCTTTGGAATCTTTTTGTTCGAACATGATTTTCCATATCTGTTTCAGTGCCAAATATATCGAGATCCAAACTTCGTTTTCTTCTTTGGCTTATTGTAGTTTGTCCTACATTCGCTGAGTTAGGAATAATTTCTGATTCTCTTTTCATTGTTGAAATCGAAGAAGGTTGAATTTCTTCTACAAGCAAAAAGACATTATCATTATTTAAAGATTTGCCTTTAGTTTCATCAATTTGAATAAATTGATCATTATCAATAAATTTTGGAATTGCTTCTAAAGCTCTGGTTTCTTCAATTTCACCTTCATTTTCATTTGATCTCTTTAAAACATCAACATCTAAATATCTACCAACAGCAACGGCACCAATTCCAAGTGCAGCACCCGAAGCAACTAAACCCAATGCTGGTATTAAAATTGATGAACTCGAAGCAACAGTTCCAATTTTATCCTGAGCCTCTTGATTTTTAGATAGACCTAAATTTTGTGAAATTTTATGAGTTGCCTCAACTAATGGATCAAAAACAGGTTTTGTAAATTGTGACACTTTCTCAACACCGGTGGAGAATTGATTTTTCAAATTTTCCGAAATTTTAATCCAAAATGGTGTCTCTGGTTTTTTGAGACCATAAAAATGTTGATTGGGATAATAATTTTTTAGCGTATAAGAATCGACGATATTTTTATCATTCAATACATATTTCTTTTTATGTCGTTGCTCGGTAAATGAATATTGATTCTCGGGAAAATTGTCTGGTCGTCGTTTTTCATTTTTTAAAATTTTTGCCGGTTGTACTCCTAATTCTGGATGAGCATATTGTAAAACTGGAGCTCTTGCACCTGGTTTCATTGTTAAGGGGGCAATTTTTTGACTCTCTGGTGTGTATATTGGAGAATTTGGAAATGTCGTGACACTTTCGGGATGAAGCATTCGTTTTTGAATTGTCGATCTATAATTATTATTATTATTATTATTGTTGTTGTTATTGTTGTTGTTGTTGTTGTTGTTATTGTTGTTGTTATTATCAGCCTTGAATTCATAGGTATTAGGTTCCCATTCGTAATACACATTTCTATTCTCATCATTGAAATTTCTGCCGTACCTAAAAAAATTTTCAAAAATTTTTATTTTTTCTTCTTCTTTCTTCTTCAATTTTAATGTGCCATTTCAGACTTTTTTTTATCACTTTTTGGAGCAACCTCACCAATTAAAAATTAAACTTGGTAACATGATATTGCTTGATATACATCAGGTTCCAAAAAAAAACATTTTTCAGTCACAACAATTGTTTATTCTACAGATATAACAATAAATAATTGAAAAAATCCCCTTTTGAACGACTACACGAAATGAAATGTAAAAAAAATTAATTTTCAAAATTTTCTTTATTTTTATAGCTTTTATATCCAAAAAGAAAATTGGTGTCAAAATTTTGTAAATATTATTTTTCGTTTTTTTTGTTATTTTATTTTAAGCAGCTATTATGGCTGCGCGCGACGTTTTTTATTTTCTAATCAGTAATACCAACATATTTCGTGCAGTCGTTCAAAAGTAGATTTTTTCAATTATTTATTGTTGAAGCTTTTAAATAAAAAAATTGCACAACAATTTTATACAATACCAAGTTTCATTTTAAAATGTGAAGTTAAATTAATAAAATACTCCAAAAAGTGATAAAAAAAAAAATTCCTTGAATGGCACCTATATAAATTTTTTTTCTCTAAATTTTCGAGAACAAGGCCGATTTCTCGCGAGCTCGAAGTTTGCTGCGCAAGCGAAGCGCGATCAGCAATCGAGCAAGCGAGAAATCGCCCTTGTTCTCCACGAATAGCACATGATACTTTGTCCAACAACTGTAAATTATAAATTACAGTTGACAGCTGTCAAATAAACTGTCAAGTTTGCTGAAAAGAGATCTTTTCGTTCTAAAATGAAAGTAAAAACATTTTTAGATCCGCTGGTATAGAATTTAAGGTAAAATTGATAATTTTTTTAATTCATATTATAATTTGACAGCTGTCAAATCAAGTGTCAAGTTTTATAAAAAGTTATTTGTTTTAATAAAAATTTCAATAAAAGAATTTTTGTTGTTATTGGTGACAAATTTGATGTTAAGTTATCAATAAAGTTAACAGTTAATATGACAGCTGTCAAACTGTCAATTTGTCATCAACTATGTGATTAGCGATCATTAAAAGTTTTAGTTAGTTGCTTAATATCTATTGTTAGTTTTGCAATGTTTATTACGCCTTTTACCCACTTGGAAAGATTCCTCGGAAAGTGCCCCCTGGAGATTCCATGAGAATTTCGTCGGAAATTCCAACGGAATTCCGTCGGAATTTCAGCGGAGTTCCAAAGAATTTCCGACGGAATTCCGATTATATTCTGATAGAATTCCGATGAGATTCTGATGGAATTTTAATTTTTAGAGTCCTATATTAAGAACATTATTATTATTATAAAATAGAATTTTTATCATAGAAACTTTACTAAAAAATTTTATTTTTTATGAAATATTTATCAGCACAGCTAGAAATCGATTAATCGAAATTAAATCGATCTGTCAAGTTGAACAACATTGAATTCGATTTATGTTTTTCTTTTACGAATTCTTTAATACATAAACCATTTTTTTAACGATGTCAAGTAAATATTTAATTAAAAATATATTTTTTTTAGAAAGTTTCTATGATAATTCATCGGAATTCCAAGGGAAATACGATTTTTTAAATCTTTCGAGCCATACACTAAGATAAAATTTTATAAAAAACTCTAAAAATTAAAAAAGAAATAATCGGAATTCTATCGGAATACCATCGGAATTTCATCGGAATTCCGTCGGAATCCCATCGGAAATTCTTTGGAACTTCGATGAAATTCCGACGGAATTCCGTTGGAAGTTCCGATGGAATTCTGATGGAATCTCCAGGGGGCACTTTCCGGGGAATCTTTTCAAGTGGGTATCCCCACTCTACTCTCAGTATTTCTCATTCCTCCACTGGTGACTAGTGTACAATAGCACAATTCCACCGAAGGCGTTGGACAAAAAAATTTATTTAATTCTAACAACCGGTTTATTAAGTAAGTAAATGAATTTTTTTTATCTCGCTGATTACAATTTTGAACTTAATTTTGAAAAATTCAATAAGGAGGAAGGTTTTTTGAAAAATTTATCAGATCTGCTTGAAAATTTTTACACAGGCATTTTTGAGGTTGGTAATTTAATATTTGACATTAGATTTTAAAAATTAAAAATGTCGAGTCCAATATGGCGGATGAAATTTTAAAAAATCGTTGTATATTTAATATTTATTATAAACCTACAATTATGAGATTTTTTTTTTTGGTCATTGATTATATATCTTACATAACGGATTTTAGAAAAAAAAAACTGATCAATTTGAGCCATTTTTTTTAAATTTAATTTCCGCAATGTTCAAGTAAATATTTATTTGATAAGTCATCAAGGTAACGAATTATTTAAAACTGATTTTTTTACAATATAGAATTTTATTTACCAAATGTTTCATTGTTATTAAAAATTTTTTAAATTACAAAAATTCTAAAATGAATATATTATAATCAATCTTTGATAAAAAAAAAAAATATCAAATTTAAATACCAAATTTTTTTGTAATTTATAAAAGTCTGCATTTGAAGTAAATGTAATTTTTTAAAAACTATTTTGAGTAGTTGGATTGGTCAATATTGTTTGAATAAAAAAAATTGTAATGCGATTTTTAATTTTGTTTTTACAAAGATTTATATGATGAATTTATTACAATTATGAGATTATTATTTTCTAATAATGATAGGCCAACATTTTAGGTGATAAAAATGTTAAAAAAATATTTAAATGAAAGAAATGAGATTTGAAATAATTCTATGTCAATGAAACCAAAAGTATTTAACAAACATGTGGGTTTCTTATCTTCTTTATTTGTTTTTTTTATATATATATTTACAATTCCATATATGTATTTTTTATTTCACGGTTTCTTCAATTGTTTATAAGAATCACATGAATACATCAATGTCTCTCACTGTTATAACATATGATTAAACTACTATTAACCTTGACATATTTTGATAAAATTTTAACTATTACAATAAGAAAAAAAATACTGTGTAAAATAATCATAGACTTGTAGCATCTGTTCAAATACTAATATAATATATGACATTGGAAATATAACAAACAAATAACCTAATTTCCATTTTCAGTAGTATTATAATAATTAGTATATATTAATCATTTACAAAGTTTTTACAATAATACACATTAGTAAATTTTACTATTGTTATTTTTACAATAATACTGTTATTATTCCCTTTTACCATATTACATATACATGCATAAACGAAATATTTTTTTAAAAATAAAATCGAAATCTTTAACAAATAGTACCTATATTTTATTCATAAAACAATGTTTATTTATAAAAAATCTAATTAATTAACTAATTTTTATAAAAATTTTTTTTCAGAAAACAGCGACATGTTTAAAACATCGTAACATGAATATAATAAACTATAAAAATCTTTAACACTAGTCAAATAATTGATAACAGACAGATTTCGATTTTCGTTATTAATAAGAAAAGCGTAGAAAATAAAATAATTATAAATTAAAACAAATATAATATAACAATATATATATATAACATTAAGATACCTACACTTTTTCAAAAAAAAATATTTTCTAATTTTTGTTTCACAATGTTTATTTTCTAAAAAATTTTAACTGAAAAATTTTTATTTTCTAATGAAGTTCAATTTGAAAAATTTTTTCTTTTCAAGTTCAATTTCGAAATTTTAAGTAATTTCGTCATTAAAAATGCGGTTATCAAATTAATACCAAGTCGAAAGGAGAATTTTTTTTTTTAATTTCAATGTATAGTTATGTTATTTTTAACGTGAAGTGAATGATTTTAGGATATTTAAAAATATTTCAAAGAAATTTACAGTATCTCAAGATATTTCATGATACAACAGATAATTCAGATTATTTAAGAAACTTCAGATTATTCCAGATAATTCAGGATATTTTTAAATATTTCAATATAATTTAGAGTACTTTAAGATATTTTACGATATACTATAAATAATCCAGGATACTTCAGATAGTTCATAATACTTTAAAAACTTTAAGTAAATTTAGGATAGTTAAAGCTTTTTCAAGATACATTAAAATACTTCAAGATATTTCACGATACTGGAAATAATTTAAGTTACCTTAAATAATTGATAATTAGTTTTTTTAAGATACATAAAATACTTAATGATAATTTAGAATGCTTCAAATACTTTAGAATACTTCAAATTTTTTAAAATACTTCCGATACTTTACGATAATTAAATATTTGCTTTAATTAATTTAGAATACTTCAGATTATTCTATAGATAATTCAGAATGTTTCAAAATATTTCATGAAATTTCAAATACTTTGTATACTTCAAGATAATTTAGAGTACTTCAAGATAATTCAGATTAATTCAAAGATTTTATGATAACTTTAAAGTACTTTAAGATAATTCAAAACATATCATATAATACTTCAGATAATTCTCAACATTTTAGAATATTTCTCGGAATATTTTAAAATATTTCAAAATACTTCAGATAATTTAGGATATTTTAAAATATTTCAGAATATTTCAGATAATTGAAAATAATTTAAACACTTCAAGATATTTCACGGTACTTCTAATAATAAATTTTTGCTTCAGATAATTTAGGATACTTCAGATTATTTTAGATAATTCAGAATATTTCAAAATATTTCATGAAACTTCAGATACTTTATATACTTTAAAATAATTTAGAATACTTTAATGATTTCAAGATAATTTAGAGTACTTCAAGAAAATTCATGATTTTTCCTAAAACTTCAGATACTTTAGATAATTGAAAGAACTTTAAATACTTTAAGATAATTTAGAGTATTTCAAGATAATTAAGATTATTTCAAAGATTTCAAAATAACTTTAAAGTACTTTAAGATAATTCTTTAATATACTTTAAATACTTCAAGATAATTTTATTCAATACATTTCCGATACTGCATAGATAATTCAGGATATTTTAAAAATATTATAAGATAATTCAGATAATTGAAAATACTTTAAATACTTCAAGATAATTTAATATATTTTATGAAACTTTATATAATTTTCGACAGTGCAGTTAATTTAGGATATTTTAAAATATCTCAAGATACCGCAGATAAATTAAAATTACTTTAAGTACTTCAAGATATTTTTTACGTTACTTCATTGGAAATTATTTTTTTCTAATATATTAGAAAATATTTTTCTCAGAAAATGTGTTTCCTTATGCCAAATAATTAATTAGTAATGTAATTAAATTTTTAATAGCCAAAAAAATTTTAAGAAGTAAAAGATGTTTCTAATATTTACAATTAATCGAAACAAATTTCAAAAATATTTTCTGTCTAATAATAATATAAAAATAATTATAAAATAATCAATTAAGGCCATCCGGGAAAAATCCCTAACCTAAAAGTGTTTTCCCTTACGAGATATTACTCGTAAATAACTTGAAATATCTTGTTCGAATTTGTCGAATTAATTAGATAAGGGCGAGCTGATCCAAGTGAGGCAGCGCCATCTACATTGATACTTAAATTTTGGAAAATTTTCAACAGCTTTTTCTTGAAAACAAGATGGTAAAATGCTTTTTCCTTTATGGATAATTGATTATTGGCAAGATATACACCAGCTAAAACTTTTTTTCAGTTAAAATAATAAAAAAAATTTCATGTCAATAAATTAAATATGAGCACTTTTTTCACAAAAACTGTAACAGTACTTTCTCAGAAATTACAATCAAAAATGCAATTTCCATTTGGAAAATTAATAAACGCTAAAAAATACACGATCTAAGATTTACCAATCACGAAAATAACAAAAAAAAGTATTTTAACATAACATATTTTACTCATTATGACAGCCGTTTGGCAGTAGGTTATATATGTCACCAGACGTTTCGCAGTTTTGCCGAAAGGAGGAGATTGGCGCTGTTGCTAACCACCTGAAATACATAATCTACCAAAGGGCTGTCACAATCAGTAAAGCAGTATCAATATGTTAAATATTTAATAAAATTTTTTTTTGTTATTTTCGTGATTGGTAAATCTTAGGTCGTGTATTTTTGAGCGTTTATTAATTTTCCAAATGGAAATTGCATTTTTGATTGTAATTTCTGAGAAAGTACTGTTACAGTTTTTGTGAAAAAAGTGCTCATATTTAATTTATTGACATGAAATTTTTTTTATTATTTTAACTCAAAAAAAGTTTTAGCTGGTGTATATCTTGCCAATAATCAATTATCCATAAAGGAAAAAGCATTTTACCATCTTGTTTTCAAGAAAAGGCTGTTGAAAATTTTCCAAAATTTTAGTTTCAATGTAGATGACGCTGCCTCACTTGGACCTGGCCTTAAGATTCATCTCCATTTTGACAAGTAATTTTGTAGAAAAGTATTGAAAATCGTGGTTATAAAAGTTGGATTTTTGACAAAAGTGGGGACAGACATTGAATCTATGTGTCAGTGGCCCAGAAGGTGGCGCCAATTCTAGCTAGTATCCGCTGCTGAACTAACTTACGACAAATTACTCCACTTTAAATTTTTAATAAAATAATTTCCTCACAATATTATTGCAAAAATGGAGAAGAGCCCCACTCAGTGACCCTTTCTTTATTATTCCTCCAAATGCCAACTCGAAATACTTTATCCTTTAAAGATGAGAAGAAATCTACGAAACCCCTTTTTGCCAATGTTTAAACATTTTTTACAATAATTATTTATCAAGATTATGCAAAATTCCGAGAGAAGCCCACAGCAGGGTACCTTCCTGTATTATTTCCAAAAAATTACAACCTAAAATATTCTATTTTTTTCAAATGAGAAGAAATCTATAAAACCATTATTTTCTCCCGGATGCCCTTAAATCACCATAAACATCATAATAATTATGATAATACTACAGTAATGTAATGTACAATTTGTTAATATAAAAATCATTTACCATATAAAATATATTAATATATTAGACATTTAGCATATCACCATAAAGATTTAAGAATTAACAGAAATAAAATATTAATACCCAAACGTAATAATTGAATTCAACTTAGATCATTAAAATGTTAAATAATAATTTGTCGGTGAATTTTTGTTAACGTCAGGATGAGTTTGGTTTTTTTTGTTTTCGTTAAATATTAATACCTGCGATTCACATCTTCGAAGAACTGTTTGAATCTCTGCTTTTCAACAAGATTTTCAGAAGACTGCTGAAGTGTTGAAGGATCAACAGTAACTGACATGGCACCTTCGGGAATTAAACGATTATTAATAACCCTCGCATTTCTCCATACTTGAAATCTATCAATTGGATCATCGGGAACTCTTTTTCCATGTATTATTGGTGTACCATCAATATCAATAGTCATTATTGATGACGTTTGTTTTGATGGTATTGATTTAACATTTAATTCTGATTTTATTGTCACTTCAGGTGGTACATTTTTTGCATCACGATTTTTCATTAAATTTGCGCCAATATTTGTTCTTTTTAATGGTCGTGGTTCATGTGGAAAAAATGCATATGGCTCAGCATTATTATTTAAAAATTTGCCCACTTTTTTTTCTTCAATTTGATAATTTAATTTTCTCTCATTTCTATCGCGAAAATTACTTATTAAAACTAAATTATTTCTTGAGATTTTATTTTCTGTTGTTGTTGCGGTGGTTGTTGTGGGTGATTGAAAATTTTGATAATTATCACTGTTTAGTGTTTCTTGATCTTTTTGAATTTCATCAATTGGTTTCCAATTACCATAGTCAATGGCTTTATTACGATCTTCAAAATCACCATTTATATTGGTATTTTTGTTTTCTGATTGATTTGTATTAAGTTGTGAGCGTATTCTTTGTATTTGTTCTACTTCAAGGGGTCTAACAACGTTTTCATTATTATTATTATTATTATTGTTACTAATGGTCCAACTTATTAGTGGATTTTCATTATTATAACGAGTTGATTCATTTTGTTCTGTTTTTAGAGTTTTTAAATTATCAAAAATTGGTGGTCTATCTTTTCTCTTGACAATCAATGTTGTTAATTTACCTTCACTGGTACGAACTTTCAATTCTTCTGTTTCACCAGGAAGACTTCTGGACACTTTTAACATTGTTCTAGTGTAAGTAGGCTTCGGGAGTTCGGAACATTGATAGCCAATGATGCTTGACAAGAAAATTGTCAAGTAAAGTACCTGTAACAAGAAAAAATTAATGAGAAATTCATTCGTTTAATATTTTATTATCATGGCCTTTTTATCTTTTCTTTCTTTTATTGTTACTATTTGAAAATTATTATATCTAGAAGTTGAAAAAGAATCTAAATCACTAATTTAATTTATTTACTTATTTATAAATGTTAAACTATATTAATAATATTATTTTATTTTCTTATTGTTAATGTCGTATTATTTAATAAAAAACGAATGCTTTGAAATCTTTAAAATCAACAAGACCCATATTTGCCATCAAAATTATTGGTTAAAATTATCATTTTAAAAAATTTTATTAGATTAATTATTTTTTAGACGAATTTTTATATTACAAAATTTCTTTTTATTTAACTTTTTACTTAAAATTCTAATTTAACCAAATATTAATTTAGAATCTCACACACAGTTTGTAAATTTTAGTTTAATATATAAAAAATATTTGTCACTTTCATTCGAAAATATTATTTGTTTCAATGAAAATGATAATAAGTTTGATTTAAACTTAAGGGTTAGTTTAGAATGGGCACATGTAAATTTCCACTGGAATTTTAAGTAAAACGTCCGAAATATGACACATCTTTATATTTTTGACAACTGCCTCACCCTGCTTTCTTATAGTCTAGTTCCCCACCCTGCAGCGAAAAAAACTACCATTCCCTGCAAAGTGTCACAATTGGGATGTTGCACTGATTACTTTATATTTATTGTCAATAACATAATTGATAATTCTTTAATAATCACATAACCTTAACAATAACTTATTTTAATCAGCAAAACATTCTTTATAATTGCAAACTTTTTTCAATTATTAAAAGTATGAATCGTTAAAAAATTAAAATCAATACAAAATTTTATGTATTAAATAATTTTTTAACAACATACTTTTAACAATTTAAAAAAGTGTACAATAGTAGAAAATGTTCCACTGAATAAAATAAGCTACTGTTTATTACAAAAAATTTATTTCACGTGTTCCAAATTTTCATTTGTCTGAAATTACAAATGGCCGATAAATAATGGACAAAAAGATTTCGGAGCGAATTTTAAAATTAACCAATTACAATTTTCTTGATAATTTCTGATTAGTCAACTTTAAAAATAGCGCCAATATCTTTCTGACGATTATTTGTCGGACATTTTTAATTTCGGACAAATGGATACTTGACGATTTAAAAATTCTATCAAATGACAATTCGTACAAATACAAATTCGTACAAATGAAAATTAGGTGAATTTAAAATTTTGGCATTCAAAAATTCGAATCACTTAAATTCTACTAAATGTGAATTCTGTTAAATTAATATTCGGTTAAATTAGATTTTTTTTTTAAATAAAAAAAATTGGGTAAAAAGAAATTTGTCAAAAAAAAATTCTGTCAAATAAAAATTCCGTACCAAAAAAATTTTGTTAATTAAAAATACATTAAAAAATAATTTCTATCAAATGCTAATTCGAAAAATAAAAATTCTAACCATATGAACTTTAGAAACAAATAAATTTTTATCCAAAATTCATGCGTCCTAAATTGACAGATCAGAAAAATTTGAAATATATAATTATTTAATTAAAACGGAATCAAAAAAAAAAAAAAAAAAAAATGCACACTTATAGTCATTATTATTGAAGTTAAATAGATAATTAAGTATCTGTAGGTATAAAGTAATTAATAGTCTACTATATAATCAAAATGTTTTAAAAGAAAAAAGAAAATTTTTTTTAATTTTTTTTTTATAAATGAGAAATTGTACAATCATTTTCTTCGAACAAATTTTCATGAAAAGTATACAAACGACTTTCAGTTCAAATATCTTTAATGTAAAAAAGAAAAAAAAAAAGAAGAAAAAAACCATCAAGTACAGTTACCAATGCAAAGAAAACGAAAGTTACTCTCCATCTTTATAAACCTTAATTACGAGCACACACAGATGACGTGGTTAGAAATGCGAACGATGAAACGTCTAGTTTAAAACCTGTTTTCGGTCCTCATGTCTCAAATTCCCCTGTTTCCTTATATTTTATCAATAATTTTTTTCCCCATTTCTCTCTCTCTCCTCTCTCTCTCTCACTCTCTTTATATATATATATATATATATATATATATATATAAACACATGCATTAATGATTTATTAAGATTAGAACATATAGAACAGAATTTTAATGATTTACATTCTTTTGTTTTTTTTTCTTCACATATAGATCTTCTTTTAAGAATGTATGTATTTAAATGTAATTATATTACTAATTACTCAATTTCGAAGACTAAAAGTTTTAATGATTTCTTTAGTTAATTGCACTAAATTCGTGTGGATAATTACATAGTGGTATATATAACAAAATAAAAGTTCATAATTATGATAATTGTTTCACATTTTTATTAAGTGTTACAATTTTCTGGAATTCTTTACGGGATAATAAATTAGGGTCAACAGGGGTAAATCCGAACGCTTTTAGTAAGTTTCAACAATAACATAAGTTTTTTCTTTAAAAAAAAAATACTTCCGGTATTCTGGTGCATGAAGTTGTTACTTTACTTCCATAGAACAATTTTATGGGGTAGAAAAAATTTTTGATAAATTACAATCGCAGGAAACTTAGCGTTCGTATTTACCTCGATACTTTGCAACTTTCCTAAAATATGGGGGTAAATACGAACGCCACTGTATTTCAGAAAAATCTTAGGGAAAATAAATTTAAAGTATTGCAATTGTTAAACTTATATAAAAACTCAAAAAAAATACGATAATAAACCTATTATGTAATAATGCATCATATATAAATACAAAAATCAAACAGGTTAAAAATTAAAATGCATTACACAATTAAAACCTTCAATAACTTTATCAAATCATAACGGATTTTTGCAAAACTTGGTACAGAAAGTATTTTGGAGTGATTGAATGTAAATACAAAAATAAAAGTCAAATTTTTTAAATTCAAAATGGCGGACTTTCCTAAAACTTATTTTTAAAAATGATCAAATTTGCTAACTCCAAATTCGTAATCAGCGACCCTGAAACCCCCCGAGTAACAATTTTCGAGCGAATCCAATGGATTTTTTAATTCTCGTCCGCCATTTTGAATTTTGAAAAACTGACTTCAAATTGGTAATTAGCGACCCCAAAAACCGTAGAATACCAAATTTTATTAAGATCCTGAAAAACTTTTTTCAACAAACCATTTGGCAAAAAAATTGAAACACTCCTTCGAGAGAACAGAGATTAAGTTTCTGCTTATTAATAAATTACTAACGAGGATACATATAGAAAGAAAAACTTTTTTCTATGTACTTTTATAATGTTAAAATAATAGTGTAATCAAATAAAAACAATTTTGTGTGGCTTTGATGTAAAAAAAAATGATTAAAAATACCGTTCGGATTTACCCCAGTTTTCCAATTTTCTTGGGTAAATACGAACGGTCTGATATTATTAATAAAATTTTACAGAAGGCAAAAATCAAATATAGTTTCTGTTCTAGTATTCATAACAAACAATTATAAATAATAAAATGAATTTTTAGCTTCTTTTTCTTGAAATACGAGACAAAATACTGAAAGAGTGTCATCTTTGATTTTCAATCTTTTTTGCAATACTTGTTATCTTTGTTTATGCTGTTGCTAATTAACAAACAAAAAATGGGATAATACTTAGAATCTCTTCAAGAGGATCTGAGGTAAAAATTCTCATATCGAACTTATTTTTAAAAATTTTAATTAAGCTGAAATAATTAGCGTTCGGATTTACCCCCCGTTCGGATTTACCCCGACTGACCCTATGGAGAAATAAGTAATAATAATAATAATAATAATAATTTCAAAATATTAATTTAATCGATTTGAAATACTTTAATGCATACACTAAAAAAAAATTTATTTGATTCAAATACTCGATTACTTCACTATTATCAAATAAATATTTATTTGAAACAAATAATGTTTATTTGAATTAAATAAATTGTATTTGAACCAATAATTTCTTTATTTGAAACAAATACAATTTAATTGTCTTAAATAAATATTTATTTAATAATAGTGAACTAATCGAGTATTTGAATAAAATAAATTTTTTTTTCCGTACTTGATAAGTATTGTTATACAGTTTATATTTTCTCTTAACAGTTTATTATAAAGTTGATTTAGCTAAATTTATAATAAACGAATATGTTAAATAATACTAATAATAATAATAATAATAATAGTAATAATAATAATATTGTTATTATTATTATTATTTGCAATAAATACATTCGGAGATAATATATTTCATAGAAAAAAAATTTTACTTGGAACAGCAAAAATTTTCACTATAGCGAAAGTTTTAATTAATTATTTCAGTTAAGATTTTTGTTTCAAATAAATTTTATTTAGTTTAATTAAAAAATTTACATGCGCTAAATAAAATTTTTTATTTATAAAACTATAATAAAAAGTTATTAAACTCTGAGAGAAATATATTTTTATTTGTTTCAAATAAATTTTATTTGTCTCAAATAAACATAAATTTATATTTATAAACTATTTTAAATTATATCATAAAAGGAAAATAAAAATGAATATAAAAAGTTATTAAAAATTGAAATTTTTATGTATACAATTTTTTTTTTAAATTCTTACAACCAAAATAAAGAAATTTATCAATATTTTACGTAATTAAAATATTAAATATTTTAAATATATAAAAATAATTTTAAATTAACATAATAAAAAAAAGAAGAAAACATTCAGAATTTTTCATCAAATTCAAGCTGTGAGTTAAAAAAAAAAATCACACTACAATAGAAATACGAACAAATTTTTTTAAATAAAATTATGAATGATTTGGTAATTTTGTATACATAGGAAGTGCATAAATTAGAAATTATCAAGGAAAAAAATTGGTCACAGTTAAAAGGCGAGGGGGTTTCTATTGTAAGAATTGTAAAGAAAATCCTTAATTTCAAAATCATAAGAAAAAAAAAACGAGGGTCGTGATTCATATGTTAA